CATAAGCTAGGATGTAAAAACCTTTAATAGTGAAGGTGAGAAGAGAAAGAACCTTGATCATCTCGAACACTAGGATGGTTGATTATAGCATCACTTAAGCATGAACTGGGATGTGAAACTCAAGCAATCATTGCCGAGAGCTAAGCTGTTGAGGTGGGCTGTACATTGTCAACGGTGAGAAGAACTATAACATCTGATTAGATTTATGGCAAGCAAAAGGTTTATGGTGAGCAAAAAAGAAGAGACAGAGACAAGAGCGATTGGCTAATTAGGCTAGGGCGAGAGATGAATGTCTACACTGATACACTCTGCTTTGCCTCTAATTTCATTTTTCGTTTTTCATTTCTTCATTCAATTTTAAAATTTGAAAATTTAAAAAAAATCCCCTAAAAATGAACATCGTTTGGGGGTTTTGCAGAAAAAAATAATAACCCAATAACTCAATCACCTACCTATTGAATTATACCAGGTTACCTTGGGTTGACTAAGTTACACTGAGTCAGCCACTGAATGGGTTAAGTGAAAACCCAAACTAGTAAAGAGACCAAATTGCTAGCTTATGGGTTGACCAGACGATTTGGTTCAGGTTTTCATACCATGCTCCCCAAGTAACAATCACCACTAACTAACTCGACCGGATATATTTATAAATTGGTAAACCACCATCCCTAATATCTAATTGATTAAAAAAATTAGTCACTTATGACCCGACTTCAACCCGGTCAAATTCAGCCACTTGGAGGGTTAATGGGTTGACTTGGGTCAGATGTTATTATTTTTATTTTTCATTGTTTTTCCTTTCTTCTTCTAAATATTAAACCTTAAATCAAAAATAAATTTTTAGCTAATAATTTTGATGTTATTGTGTTTTATTATTATCATAAACTTATAATTATTATTTCTATAAGAACATGCATAAGATTTTATGAATAAATTTTTTATTTACTCAAGAATTGATGAATTTTATTTAAATATTACGGTCTTTCATATATATAAATATTTTTTGCATATTTAATTAAAATTATGTTATTTTAGTTGTGACCATTTCAAGTTGCCCCTGGTTGAACTACCAACCCTTAAATCACTACTTTTGATCAATTCAATGATCGGGTCCGGTTTTTAATATACTTTAATCACTGTAAAATGTAAAATTGATCACAGGTCCTATTATTATTTGCCATTTATAAACATTAAACTTATTTCGTATAATCCCCAAAGAAATATATTTAGTTAACTCAGAATCTGTATAAACTATAAATTTTATAATAACTTATATATGGACAACCATGACCGAGAATTTTCACACGACTGTACATATAAAGATGGAGATATTAGATATATACAAAGCTTCTAAATAAAGTTAGAAATATGCTATGGCCAATAAATACTACTATTCCTCACACATCTAATTACCTTACGGAAATAAAGGAAATATGTTTTTTAGGCCAAACCAAAGAAAAATCATTTAAATTTTTTGAAAATGAAGTAGAACTTTAATTTCATACAAGTGTAAATATTTTTTTTGCATAACTAATGATATTAAATAAGGGTATCTCTTAAATAAACACACAAGTGCCAGAGCTGTTGCGATATGCGATAAATTATCACTAAGGGGTATCTGCCAAATACGAATTACTATATTCATTATGCCACGTTACTTCTGTCATTATATCGTGTGTCTTGTACTTTTTTATAATTTTAAAAATAACCTTGAATATATAATATAGTGAAACTAAACCATATGTACAATTTATGCATATCATCAGGATCATCTTGTTTTATCTTTCATTTTTTGAGAAGAACGAGTCAAAATGGCTGTCAATTTCAACATCATAACTTCATACGGTGAAAATGTTTGTGCGCATGTTTGCCGTGTAGGATTTGCACAATTCATTTAGATAATCTTAAATTATTTGATATTATTGAAATCCATTGGGAAGACATCATTTTCAATGAGGAATCAGAATCATCAATCATATTATTGATGAAGATTTAAAAATCAAGTTCGAGAGTGTTCCAAATAAGGCACATAATTGAAATTAGGCTGTTTAAATATGAATCAACCTGAGATAATATGAAAAGCTTCACGTTAAATAAAGTTAACTTTAATACCGAATATAAAATAAAGAGAAAAAAAATCATACACTTAAGTCTTAAATTTTGAGTTAAAATCTGATATACTTCCATTATTGCTCTTGCCATTCCTAATAGTCATACTAAATGGGTACTGAAATATATCAAAGAGCTAACAAATATACATCTAATATGTGCATGCGTGATAACAAAACCAAATAGATAATCATAATTTATTATTTTAATATCTAATAATTTGTGGGCGATTTGTATGTACACATCTAAATATTTTTTAACGATCTAGAGGCATGTTTTATTTTTTATGAGCTCTCCCGAGACCCAACTCATTTAACTTTATTTTACCAAAAAAATGAAAAAAAATCTTTAATTCAAGCTTTGGGAAAATTAATGGCATGTTGATCAATGATCAAGAATGGCGAAAGTGAATCTCTTCTTAATTTCATCGTTACTTTTGGATCCTGAAGTGTGCCACATGAATGAAAGAACCCCATAGCATTTGCAGAGGACAAAATCCAAACATAATACCAAAGGAACCTGAAGGTTAGGAGCCAACTACATGCTCATTATACATCAAATTGAATTAGATTATATTAAAGTTGTATATTATCTTTTTTTTTTATTTACATATTTAATTTTAAATATTCATGTTTAGATTATGTCACATTAGGTAGATAAATAAAATTAGAGTTTGAACATAGATTGATTGATGATTGATTCCTGAGGCAGCCAACAATGTTAAATTATTAGAGCCGTCCAGATTCATTTTGTGATAGGAGCCAAAACCAGGCTGCAGGCGCACACGATTTTTGGGAGAATAAAAGTTAAAAAATCTTAAGAGGAATTAAAAACAATTAGGTTTTCAGTAAAAAAATTTAAAAAATAAATTGTAAAGTATTAATTTAAAATATAATGGCAAATTCAAAACTTCTAATTATAAATAAGATATTTAAATTTTAAATGTAACTCAATTTAAAATTGAGATTTGTTTGCAAATGACTAAATCTATAGCACCTAATTATCATCAATTCCTTCTTTTTGAACACTATTATCTTCTTCCTTAATTTTTTTGGATTTGTGCATCAACTTGTTTTCCTTGTGCATCAATCATTGCACCAATATAATTTATGTGGTAGTGTATATAGACAGTACAAGACTCCAAATATTGACACTGAAGGATTCCACGTATTGACATCAAAGAATCTGGGTCAATTTTCTGTTTTATTTCATTAAAGACATTTAAATCATTTATTGGCCTCAAATATCGACACGGTCGAAGATCAAGTGACCTTGGTCCTTTAATTTAATAAATTCTAGGTATCTTAGAGTAATAAAATTTCTGATGAGGATTTTTAATTTTTGTCAATTTTCTTCCCTTTTGAAATGTTTTCATTTAAACGAGTCATTGTTAGGATTTCGTTTGATAAAAACGGGGAAATTTCGGAAGTCTTGATGGATCAATCAGATCTAAGCTAGAAGATAGAGACACGGACGAGCATGCCCTTATACTCAAATAGTCCAAAAGAATAGATTTAACAAAAGTAATAATATAAATCGTACTCAAGTTTTTTTTTCTTATTTATAAATACATCGTAAAATTTTTATTACAAAATTTCTCTTTTTATCATGTATTAAATGTTGGAAAGAAAAACATATTATTAAAGTATGTATATTGAAAAGTTAATAATTTATTAACTTTTAAAAGGAGTTAAAAAATTTTAAAGTTTTTTTAATTTTAATTAAATATATTGAAAGTAATTTGTAAATAAAATTAAAAAAATATATAATTTGTTATTTCAATTCAGCCAGAGTTAGTGGGGAGACTTTTTTCGTTGAACTTCCCCACAGACCCCCTCCAAAAAGAAGAAGTTTTTGGACTTTCTGCTCCTATAAACTTATTCACTTTGGGCTTGCCTTTACAAAGAGGTTCCCAAAAAAAAAAAGTTGTGAAAGCTTTGCAAAGTTTTTTTCCAAGCCGGCTTTTGTTTTTAGATCAAAAGGTATTTTTTACTAATAAATCATTTCCTCACGAGTATTCCATAAATTATTCATTGGAGAAATGTGCTCTTCAAGTATCAAAATCTTTGCAATGTTACTTTTAAACTAATAAATATTAGTTTTAGATTGATTTTAAGTAACAGGTTATTTTTACCCGTAAAATATCGACAGAGGAGTAATTGACACGCTAAAGTTCAATAAAGCGGGGAAATTTACAACCATTTTTTAACCAAAGAATTTTGCATCATTTAAGCTGCAATATGACTTAAAAGTCAGTCAGTTTGCACTAACGATAATCGAAGTGTATTGTTAAATGTCATGTTTATCTACATTGTCACATATTGTATAGGCATCCGTTTTTTGAGATTGTCAATTTGAGATACGTAATATTGACAAATTTTTAATTAATCCTTTAAAATCCATCGATCATCATCCTTCACGCAATATTCTTTATAAAAACCAGCGAAAATATTTTAATTTCTAAAAATGCCATCCCCCCATCACTCTTGTTATCAATCTCTTCTCAACTTCTTTAGAGTAATTTTGACGAATTACTAAAAAAAATTTGCCCCTTGTTAATTACTTTGACTTTAATTACTCCTTCCATTTAAAAATATAAGACATTTTTTTAAGAATTAAATATTAAAAAATATAAAGTATTTTTAATTTTTTAAAATATAATCATTGTTTTTTTTTAAAAAATACATCTATTAATAATGACTTTATATTTATTATAAGATATTTGATAAAGGTAAATAAAAAAAAAGATAGGGTCAATTTAAAAATAACTAATTACTTTATTGAGAAGTGAGATTCAATTAAAAATGCTTTATATTTTTAAATGGATGAAGTACTTTTTTAGATTTATGTAAATAACAGATTCTGATAATAAGAATAAGAAGAGGTAGTAGTACGTATAAAGCAATATATAACACAAGGCCCAGCTAACGGCTACAACATATGTTCATTATACAATAATGTCCCAGAACAGAATAAAATAAAATAAAATAGAACTCAGATCAGCTGGAAATCAACCACAAATTAAACTACATAAGTAACTCATCAGCTATTGATGAATCACTTTTACTGTCCTGATTAATCTCGTCCAGAATTACAATGAGTGCCGCTATGAAAGCATAATCCACGTTGGGGTACACTGTCACCATGAAATTTGTTTTACCAAACATAACACTCTGAACTGTGTGCTTCTTATGCATCTGCAATATAATATTCAATATATATATATATATATATATATATTATTCCCATCATAATTGCGCTCCATGTTTTATATAACAATTCTTTACCTTTAATTATTAAATTTTTTATTTTAATATGCTTAAGGATAGTATATTCCATCAAAATAGTTTAAGCCATTTGATTAAATATTTTTTAAGCTTATATATTTATAATCTATCTTTTAATCTTTGAATGTGAGGCTTTTTTTATGTTTTAATAATAATTACAAGATATAAAAGATTTAAAAATTTAAATACCTGTGCAACAATTGTATTGGATTCGCCAGCATAGACAACACAAGATCGCTCGAGCCAGCTTCCTTTGATCTTAAAGTCACAAACTTGTTCTGTGGTGTTAGAAGCCAAGAACACATCTAATTTGGTCCTAACCAATTGGATCAGAGATGATCGCTTCAGAGTAAATATGAGATCCTTCGGGTCGGTGCTATCTCCTCTGAAAGCTTGCCATCGATCATGTACTGTCATTACCTGCACCATCATTCATCATGTTTTGTTTTCAAATATAAAAGAAATTATCATGTGCTTTTTTTTGTTTTTATTTATAAATAAAACTACAAATTTTGAAAGTATTTATTACGTTTTCTTCAAATTGTCCCTTATAAAATCAATATTTATTTTCACTAAATAAATTTGTTCAGTTAATTACTGGGATAATTCAGTTCAAATTTTTTAATGTCAGATATAATTATTATACTTAATCAACCTTTTTAAACCATATAAATAATTTTTTTCTTTTATTTGAAAAGCGAAGAAGTAATATATATACCAAGAATTGCTAAGAATAGGAAGCCTCATCTAAAAACATCTTAATTCAAAATTTTAAGTTATTAAGTTTAATTTTGCCTGCTCCAACAACTTAATAAGAATTGATTGGAAGAAAGAAAAGTTGAGAAGGTGGGTTGTGAACACAGTGACAAACCTTCCTGCGCAGAGTGACGACGGGGTTTTGAGCAGCATCAAGTAAGACACGGCGGTCGTGGAGGGTTAGAAGAGAAGCTTGAAGCTTGAAAACGACGTTGCCGTTTATGTCCGTGACAGTGAACTGATCTGCAACCGTCAGCACCTTTCTAACAATTGCTAGGTCCACCGGATACGGACAACAATACTGTGGTCCGATCACGGCCATGGCCGTCGGGTAAGGCGGCGCAGAAGCAGTGGGCACCGCCCCGGAGGCGTACGGCTGTGGGTATTGCATGACCGCTGATTGGTCAAAGTCTAAAGAAAACCGATGAGATAGGACTAGCTCGTGAAAACAATGGAGCTCTATGTGGTGAGATGATTAAGTCGTTGCCTCGAGCTCTTATATATATATACATATATATATCTGTGTGTTGAAGCTGTACGCGCACAGGAACCAGTGTAGGAAACTGCGGAAGAAGAAGAAGGCAACTTATTGCTAATAAGTTAATTAGAAGGAGGAACCTTTCGTACGCGTCATCGGCTCAATTTGTTATACGGAAGCGTACGTCGTCGCCTCTTTAGAATGTAAAATTATTCATTCGTCAATAATTTGACATTACAAAATGTCAAACTTTATTATCATCAACTATTTTTTGAGGGTGGTTTTTTTTTTTTTTGGGGGGGGGAGTTACAATAATTAATGAGTATCAGTAAACAATTAATTTTAGTCCTCATGTGTTATCTAGGTGATGAAGGCATTACTCTTAATTAATACCCCTGTGTGATATTGAGCGTAGGTAAGAACTTGCTTTCAGATTCATAGCGACTTAATTATATTATGTGTAATTTAGATAGCATCTTCTTAGTTTTCTTGTCTTCATTGGCTTTTTTCCAAATTAAAAAACAAGAGGCCGTAGGAAGCCATTCAAGCGAAGATACTGTAAGATGTTTGGACAATGCATTAGCATAAGATGTCTTTTTTTGGATTAGGTAAATTGTTTTGTTCATAGTATAGTATTTTAAATTTTTAATTTAGTTTATTATATTTCTCTGGGTCACATTACATTATTTTTAATGGTGTCGTGGGACCATTGGTATCCGTTAGTGTTTGATTTTGTGTCTTTAAAATTTTTATTTGATTTTTTTATTTTGTTGCTGGTGACAATTATAACTAACACATATCTACTATATTTGCGATCATATTGTCAAATTCTTGAATTGACTTTTTAAATTTATTATTTTTATATTTCTTATTTATAACATTATGTTAACTCACTTATAAATTCAAATTAAATGAAACTTAATTAAACTCACTATTAATTCTCTAAATTTACTATTTTTATATTTTAATTTACAAAATTGTGTCAATTTATTCATAAATTTAGATTAAATGTAATTGATTAAACTTGCTAAACTTGTTAATTTTTGACTAAATTGAATAAGTTAGTCATATATTATATAGAACTAACTTTATAAAAGTGGTAGGACACAATTCAAAAAAAAAAAACTTAAAAACACAGATGAATAAAAAAAGAAAAAAAGAAAAATAAGTTGAGTATGATAATCTATCAACATAGGTAGATTTAATTTTAATAATTTTATATTTAAAATATATTTAAATCAAATTAGGATTATATTTTATATTTTAATTATTTAATTATATACTTTTAATAATTATTTATTAATAAAAATAAACTCTTACGAGTTTATGATTCGAATTTATAATTCAAGTTTACATCCCTATAACAAATTTACTTACAATCATGAATTTGACAATCCTGTTTATGATACCCACCGTGGGCTAGGTTCAAACCTACAATTTTCATATTATTGACATGATGGGAGAAAAAAAACTTAGGCACGGTTTTATTTCTGTTTTTAAAAAGTAGTTTAAATTTTAAAATAAAAAATAAAAACAAATTTGAATAAGTGTTTTAATTTTAAATGTTTTCAAATTTTTCTCCCTGGTGTGAGTGTTTCTCTGTCCCTTGTGGGAGGTGGTTCCGACGGTTTCTGTCTCGTCGATTGGTTGTAATGGTTTTGTATTGCCGATGTTGGCGGCGGCGAACTGGCGATTGAGGAGAGAGTGTTGCCCTCTGTGGCCCATTGCGGCGGAACAGGTAAAAGAGTGTGCTCTTTGGTTTGTGCATTGCGAAGGAGGAGATGTGAGGTTTGAGTGTTAAGGGTAAGAGTTTGGAACGATAAGTATGGAGGCTAGGGTTTACGGTGGAGGTGCTTTAATTGGCAGAACTTGGTGGAGAAAGAGTTGAATCATAATACGGTAAAGAATATGATTTGGGTATAGTTGACCAAGTTTAAAAGAAGCATTTAAATCATAAAAATTACAAATATGGAAACAATTAGAGTTGAAAACAAAAATATATCAAAAATAAACAATAAAGCACATTATCTTTCATTATTGTAAATCACCTTTAATCATTTTTTATTTTTCAAAGTAAAAATATCTTAAAATTATTATTTTATGTATAAAGCACGTTAAGATTTGACTATTATAAGTTATATTTAACTATATGATTAATGATTATCATAGATTATTGCCATTAACGATTGACAATTATCATTATCGACTAATTTTTAACTCTAAAATCGTTTAAAATTTTCATAATCAAGCAAATTAATTTTTTTTTGTTTCGATTTGAAAACAATTTAAAAAATGATTTGCAAAATAATTTTTAAAAAACAAAAGAGGGAATAAAAGCTAACGAGCCCTAATATTTTGAATTATTTTGTTATTCACCTAGATGTTTATCATGACCAAGTGGATTTTTTTAAATTCCATATTCAGATTTTTTTTTTTTAACTAACGGGTTTAACTCTAGCAAAAGAGATTAGTTCTTTACAATATGATAAATTAAAGTTTAAATTTTTGCTAAAATAGATACCTATATTTAGTATTTAACAGTATCTCAAAAAGAATTGCCTTTTATATATGGATTGTTAAGAATATTTAAGAAAAAAATATTAACGATATAGATGATGGAAACCTTGTATTCATCTATTCAACTAGAGTAATTTACAAACTTCAACTTTGAGGTAAAACAACGAGCTGAGGACTTTTATTAATCTGCCTCTTCAGGTGGGATATAACCCCTAATCTCCCTTTCCTCTAATCAAATTTTGATGCCCTTTATATAGAAGTTAGGTTTTAGGTAACTAAAAAATATTTAGATTATTTAATCTAATTTAATTTTAATGTTACCTTTTTATTTAAACTAAATTAGAATCTGTATTTTTATGTGTAATAAATTTGCAATGTGGGATCTCTTGAATCTTGAGAATGTTTTCTATGGTTGCAAGCAAAATATGGTAAATTTTTGGATGCAAGTGGTTAAATATATAAAAGTAGAGAATAAAACGAGTTATTATTTATTCATTATTCAATGACATTTTTAATATGCTAAATATGCATAACATAAAAGATTGGATTAAATTTTAATTAACATATCATGCAAAATTTTCTATCATTTGTTACTATAAAAAAACTAACATAATACAAACTATTAATCAGGTCTAATAGATATAAATATAGGCTGTCTTAATTTACAAAAGCGATCAATATTATATATATTATATATATATATAATTTATATACTCTTTTTCTGTCTATTCATTGTGCATGAGAGGTGAAAATTTTTAACCTTTTTGTGAATCCATGACTTTTTTCCCACCGGAATATAAGCTAGTTATTGACACAAATTATTAAATTAATCCATGATTTTTGTCTTTTAACTTCTGTTTTTGGATTACCTATTCGGAAGAACTTATTCATTATAGGCTTCGGCTTACGAAGAGGCCCAATAAAAGATTTAAAAGCTTTGCAAGTTTTTTCCTCTTGGGCTTTGTTTTTAGGTTAGAATGCATTTTTACTAATAAATTGTTTTGCAAGGAGTCAATAAGAATTGAGTCTAGTGAAAAAAAATTAATTCATTATAACATGATAAATTAAGGTTTACATTTTTATTGGGAGAAGTTTTTACATTTTGTGTCTAACCATAACTTGAATAGAATTGTCTTTAATAAAAAGATACTCCTTTAATTTTATTTATAGGGTAGAGAGATAAGAAAAAATTGATCTTATTTGTAGAGCACTGGTCAATTTTCAATGCTTTGAATAAAAATATCAATAATAAAATTTAAGACTATTTATTAGGGGTAAAGGTAGAAACTTGTTAAATTTTAAAATAAAGTTAATGAGATTTAAATTTTTTTTTAATTCTGATAAAATATATTAAAAGTGACTTATAAATAGGATAAGAGAGAATATCTATGATCAATTTGAAAAAAGTATTTCATGAGGAGTATTAATTACCCTAAATTATTCATTGCACCGATGATCACTATTGGTCCTCAAATGTCAAAACCGTTGCAATAACACCCTTAAAATAACGAACATGAACATTAATAGTTAGCTTCAGACGGTCTTTATTTATAAATGTTAAAGAGCATTTTCCCCCTTTAAATACAGATACAATAATGCATTAATGCGCCATAATTAAAAAATAAAATAAAATCTAATCGCTTTTACTGTCCTGATGAATCCTGATTAATCTCGTCCAGAATTACAATGAGTGCCACTATGAAAGCATAATCCTCGTTGGGATACACCGTCACCATGAAATTTGTTTTCGCGAGCATAACGCTTTGAACTGTGTGCTTCTTATGCATCTGCAGTATTGAATATTCCCATCATAATTAATTTCGCTCCACGTTTAATTTTAAAATAAAATTGTGATTTTTTTGGGCAAAAATAAAATAGTAATTGTTAGGTTTTAAAGGGACAACCAAACTATAAATTTGGAATACGATAGTGCGCAGACAGGTACAAAAAAAAAAAAAACGATTTGCTATAAGAGGAAGAGTTTGGTGTGGTTTTTGTTTAGGAGAAAATGACAAAAAATAATATTAACACTAATATATCATTGAACGAAGATAGCTTAGAGTTTGTGAAGACGGGTAGAATATGACAAAAAAAAATAATAATGTGATTGAACGAGACATTTTGATCAATAATATATCTAAGAGTTTGGTTGTTAACGGAGTACAGTAACGTCATGTAATTTATATAGCCTATATTATTATTGCTGTTTTGATTTATATAACAATAATTCTTAATCTTTAAAAGAAAAATATTAAAAAATTAAATACCTGAGCAACGATGGTGTTGGATTCACCAGCATAAACAGCACAAGATCGCTCGAGCCAACTTCCTTTGATCTTAAAGTCACAAACTTGTTCATTGGTATTAGAAGCCAAGAACACATCTAATTTGGTTTTAACCAACTGGATCAGAGATGATCGCTTTAGAGTAAACATGAGATCCTTTGGGTCGGTACTGTCTCCTCTAAAAGCTTGCCATCGATCATGTACTGTCATTATCTGCAACATCATATCATCTTTGAGACTCAGTTTTCGATCGAGCTTGTTTTCTTTTCGATTGAGGATTGAT